ATAAGGCTAAAAAAAGACAGCGACCAAACAGAAGACAACACCATCTTGGTCTTCGTATCTATCTGGTTATTCGGGCTCTAATCAAACTTATCCTGAAAACAATAACATTCTTGAAAATTTCTTAGTTTATTTCTACTAAATTTGAAAGTGCCACGTGAATCGAAACAATGAAAATTAATTTAATTATAAGGTTATTTAAGCTGACTTATATAAAACACGGTTTCATAATTGTCTAAGGATAGAAATCCAGATTAATTGTGCCATCTCTTTATGGTACCAATAAAAAATACAATTATCGAGCAAATATGTTTTAGGCCTAGGCGGCATTTTATTCAATTAACTTATCCCACGATACTCTCTTCATACTTTTTTCTTGTCCCGACTGCTGCCTCCAGACCGGGAGCTTCTTGATGAGCTGGCGCCACTATGAATATCGTTGCGTTCTACCATCCGTGAGGAATTTCGATGACCTTTCTGAATGATGGCCGCTATCCCCGCCTCCTCAGCCTTTCCATCGATGAGGAGACCGGCAATCAGCGCATTTGTTGCCATTCCGGCTGCGGTAAGCGTCGCTGTTGCTGAGTTCTCCTCAGTCAATGACTCAAGCGCCGAGACTCGCAAACCCACATTGGTACCAGCTGAGGCTGCTGGTGAAAAAAAATGTCTGAGACCCTGGATCCTACGAATATCCACGGTCTGTGAAGACGGACAGCTTTCTGTTCTGCTCAAAGGATGATGCTTCCGTGAGGACGGAATTTCCTGTCCTGGTGGGTTGGCCTCAGAACATGGAATTATAGAAATCTGTCGAGATTCGAGAGAAGATAAAGCCGAAACACGGCCTGGAACACGTAAATAGGACAAGTCCTGCATCGTTTCATGTGTAAATGGACCCTCAGGACGAGTGAAATCCGATATGGCATCATTCTCCTCGTACGTATATTTCGGATAGCTGGCAATATGGCCTGGGGCTGGAAGCTTGCTGGAGTAGAATCTAGGCCTGGCCGTTGGAGTGCCCTCAACTGCATGCAAGAAATAAGAAAAAATATAAATAAGAGTTATGGAATTTGATTAGTTATGACTCCTGTTTTGATAGATAAACCCAAATTAGTTTAATCTTGTGCATATAAGGAGCTATCTCGACCCCGTAATTTATCGAATATGTTAAAACCTAGATGATGTGGGTTGACCTCGTTTTCGCGACTTGGTCTTGTTGTTAGAGCGACTTGGTTGTATGAACCTTGTTTGAAGACTTCTGCCATAGTATCCATCATAATTTCCAGCATCCGACTGTGTATTTGGTACATTCTCGGACATTTCCCCGGAATCGTAGTCGCTTTGATGAGTTGTAGCTTGGTGCTGAGGATGGCAAGTCTCATTGATGATGCCAACTACGATGCCGGCGAAATGCATGAAATGTAACAAATCCATGGTCTGACGCTGGGTATTATGATAATTACTATGAAACAGTCTTCGGACAAAGTATGTACAGACAGGTCTTTCTGAAAACAAGACCAAGTTGCGACACGAGATCAACTCACCCGTAATTTATGTTTTCTGACCAAAGTTAAAATCAAATGTTTCAAGCTCCATAGAGTAGAGCAAGGTATTCTGAGGTGAAATGATTGTATAGGCTGACGAATTTAGCAATAGTTTTACTATATTGAGGCGGTTTGCGATAAATGTGGAACCGCCTAAACTGAAATGCTCACTACTGAGGCCTTTTTTACGGTCTTAGCTACATTTCTAAGAACTGTAACACATTAAAGCACTTTAAAATGTGGAAAAGAAAAAGTAATGAAAGCCCAGACAAAATTTTCAAAATTAGTTGAACTTTCTGTGTGCGGTCAAAATCTAAATTTTCAAGACATAACAATCCATAACCAAGCAGTTACCTTGCGTTTCGTCTTAGTCTCCTATATTTATTTAATTTCGTTTTTATGCTTTAATCGAACTTTAGGTTAAATGTGAATGCTAAAATTAGTTTAACTAGAAACCTCTTGCCTTCATGCCTGTATTCACTTTTATAATTCTCTAATTTTCATAGGATAATCATAATTGTCACGAAAATTCTAGCTGATACTTTTGAGACTGCAATCTCTACAAAATTTAGGTATTTTTACTAGTTATGCTGTGGGTTTTTAATTCATTTTTTATATCTTGTCTATTATATAAATAATATATCATTTATGGG